TGTGATAAGCTAAATTGTTAGCCAGGACACCAGGAGAAATTCCCTTCTCTCTTTGAATAGTGCATGGGATTTTTAATACCCACTTGAACAGGCCAATGAGACCTTGGTTTAATGTCTCATCCAAAGGATGGCACTTCTGGTAAAACAGAGACTGAGAGCTCAAAATCTAGACTATCTAGATATCTAGACTATCCTAACGTGGGTTTTAAACCCATGATTTTCTGACTCCAAGGCAAGAGTGCTACCAACTGAACCAGACTGACACCTGTTGGACTTGTTGTACTGTATTTGCAGAAAAGTTTCTATTATTATTTTGGCTGACATGGGAGATGGTTCTGATTTTGTAACGAGACAACTTGAAATCCATGTTGGGAATTATACTCATTACATTTCATGTTTTTGCCTATGCCTAATTAATCTTCAAGATAAGTGGAAAAACATGTGAGAATAAATTTGAAATTCCTTGCTCTTATGTAAATTTCTTCTGATTTTAAGAATAGGAACCAGAGCTCCTGTCTGTGTGATCAGTAGCAATTTATGCTGGGGTTACAATTCTCTGGGTTCTCCCACGTTTCTTAGTGGCTGCATTTTGACTTACATAAGAGTCCACTGACTATTCAGCCAAGTGTGAACATGGGTCCACAAAGTACACAGTCACCACAATTTACAGTATGTCCTGTAAAGCGCTTTGGGATGTCCTCCCGATGTGAATGAAATGAAAGGATTGTTATTGTTATTATTATGGGAACCAAGCCTGATCCGATCCTCACTGATATCTAAACATGAACTTCCCAATAGTCATTCCCATTGGTGGCTTGTACTAAATCAAGTGCAAGGATTATTATACTGCAATATTGGTTTTAATTTCTTCAATGAAAACCTCTTTACAGAAGGTTTTTACTGCTGCATATGTAGCCTTGTCCTTTGTTGCAACGTGAATGCTAGAAACTTTGCTTTTTCCAGCACTGTGCTGCCTGAAACCATTGTGTTCCTTACTTGGTGGGGGGATAAGGGAAGAGTAACACAAAAGTTTTCTGTTCTTTTGCAAGTCATTTTGCAGATTATTCTAGTGTGGTCTATGCTTGTGATTGAAATCACCAGATTCGGTGGTAGTTTGGTGCAGAGTCATTTGAGACTCTAGTACAGTTGCAAATTGATGCTTAAAAGCTAGAAAGTGGGGCCTTGAAAGGTTTGTTGGATGATGATGAGTCTTGTGATGAATGTTCATCCCTGGCAGACTTTTCCAATAAAGTTTCTGCAATCCAATTTGTTCTGTGATATTATGTTTTATTAACTTTGCTGATAAAGTCATGTGTAACCTTCAGCTCTTTGGATGTTTTTAGAAATGTCAGATTTTCTGTCCCAAAATGCATCTTTTCATTAGTACAGCAATATTTAAACATTTTACAGGGAGACACCACGATTCAGTGCCTCAAGTCTGCTTACAACGAGGGCGTGTCCTGTGAACCTGTATTACCAGAAGTACGGCTTGCTTTGGGATGTGACCCTGCGTGAGGGGGCGCTATATAAATGCAAGTTGTTGTTGTGCGGCTTGCTTTTGTTGTGGATCCGCTGGCTTTCTGTTCTAAAAATGGTTGTCCTTGAGGTTGTCAGGTTATTGCTGACCTCATTTGCTGCATGCTGCACCTGTGCACTATGTGCTGGAAGGAAGGGCATGAAGGGATTTGTGGGCTAAGTGTGAGCATATTGATATTGGGAGATGGTGGAGCCTGGCGAGAACTATGGTGCCCACATTTCTATCCCAGTTTAGATGAACACAGCACCTGCTGGGGATAAAACCAAGGACTTTCTCAGCCTGTTTGATTTTCTCAGCTGCTCAGTGAGTAAAGTGGCTGAACCATCGAAGTAATGTCAAACATCAAGTCTTTTATTGGATAAATATAAAAGAGAATAGGGAAAAGGCTGGGGAGTGGGACCTAGACTGTTAGATCTCACAGAGAGCTGGCACGGGCACGATGGGCCAAGGATCCTTTCTTGTGAAAAAATTATTTTGATTCTGCTACATTTTTAATGACTTTTGTAACTCGGTGCAAAGCTTGGAAGAAAGTTGCAATCTGCAGCCACTGCGTCAGGGTCAGGTCACACCTCCCAATTCCCTCACAATCGCTGCATATTTATACCCTAAATCCCATGCAATTTCTTACCAAGGAGGAAGCCTACGTGTTAATAGGGAAATGTTAATGCTGTCAAACTACTTGAAGGCTTGCCAGCTTTTTGTACGAGATGAAACGAGAAGAATGAAAGGAGATGTTCAGGGGCTCCACCCATTCCAGTGGAGCATGTACTTGGGTCAAATAATGGGGGGAGGAGAGAGTAAGTGAACAGGCAGCAGACACCATGGCGTCCTTGACAGCATTTGGGTGCTGTGTGCCTATGCGGTTGCCCGTAGTTTAAGGAATTAAGCGTGAAATTTCAGATCACAGGGGAATGGTGAATAATTGTGCAGCCTCGTGGCTGTCTGACAGCAAGCATCAGCGGCATTGTTGCTTGTTGGTCTCGGACAATATTGGCCTAGTCATTGCATTAAATTAGCCTAACCAGCTTCAGATGATTTAGGATTTGACAAACCAGATCATTGTGAAGCACCATAAGGATTTAGCAGCTTAATTCGTGCTCAGAAGGAAAGCAGCACATTAGAAGCATTATCCCTTGGAAGGCCCTGGTGTATATATACTGTGAATATATATATATAAAAAAAGGGTTACTGTTTATTACATAGAAACGTGGCAGGTGACTGGGACCTTTTGAGGTCCTGTTAATGAGATGAGGATCAGCCCTGCGACAAACGGAGCGGTAAAATCTTTGTGTTTAGCCAACCTGATTTTAAAAACATCTGTCAGGACGATGCTGCTTGTTATTTCTTGAACATCAGCAGCAAAAGTCATTGTTATTACGGCTAATTGTCCATGGGGTTCGGATTCACAGCAGCTGACATTCATTGAAAGCCTTCGAAATAGCTGGCTATTATTTCTAAAGAAGAGCCTGAGAATCTGTTATTCTGTGTGAACGGAGCTATATAAATGCAAATTGTTGTTTTGTTGTATTACAATAATAATATTTATAACCTTTGCAATTGATATGGTGCCTTTCACGTTGGAAGGACATTTCAAAGCACTTCACAATGTTTACTGTAAAGTGCAGTGACTATGCATTTGTAGGCAAACCCGACAGTCAATATCCTACAAGGCGACATGAATGAAATGATCAAGTTTTATTCCGAGTATTTAACGAGGATAATCTACAAGCCTTTCCCCCACTTTGAGTGTTGACTAAGTGAAGGGGATAGTGAGATTTTGTTCCCTCAATGTAGAAATCACAATGGCAACAATGTTACCCATGTCTAACTCATCTAACATAGTGAGCACCTTTGAATTAGGATGGTCACTGCAGGAGTTGAGGGCAGATTAGACGTTTATTCAGAGGGTTTTTGGAATATAGAATGCTTTGATGCACGTAGCTGTTGAAGTTGAGACCATAGCAGTGTTGAAAAGGGGATTGGACAAAACATTTCAAGAGGAGGAATATTAAAGGGTGCGGGAAAGAGCAGGAATTAAGATTACAATGATAAGGTGAACTTGTTGAGTGCTTTTCACATAGGATGAATCTCTTAAAATGCTGAACTTTATAATAAAGAGCACTGAGTATGAAAGGTAGAATTATTGACCAAACATAAGGCAGAAGAAAGATGGTTGAGGAGGCTGCGGACATTTGGCTGGAAGCTTGGCCACCATTGGAATAATAATAATAATAATAATAATTCTTGCATTCAATATAATAATAATAATCCTTGCATTTGATGTAGCGCTTTTCACGTCTTCTAGACATCCCAAAGCGCTTCACAGAATATACTGTAAAGTGAATTGACTGTATATTTGTGGGCGAACGCGGCAGCCAATTGCGCACAGCAATGTCCCCCAAACAGTCATGGATTGAAAATGACCAATTTATTATTGTTTTGTTTTTTTGGAGGGATTATTATTAGGCGTGTGGAGTAAGGAAACTTGCCCAAGGTTTCGCCCTGCCTGGAATTGAACTCAGGTCTCTCACTTGCAAAGCGAGTGCTCTAATCACTGAGCTACAGGACTCCACAATATAGTGCCTCTCGTGCACCAGGCTCCGTGACCCCATCACTCCCACCCTGGTCCGACTCCACTGGCTCCCCATCCCCCAGAGGATTGAGTTCAAGATCCTCATCCTCACTTTCAAGGCTGTCCATGGCCTTCCCCCTCCTGCTCCTCTCTGACCTGCTGACTCCCTACCAACCTGCCCACTCCCTCCGTTAAGCGTTAAGCGGGCTCTGGTCTGCTCCATGTCCCCCGCCATCGTCGGCTGGTCTTTCAGCCTCTCTGCCCCCACACTCTGGAACTCCATCGTACGGTCCCTTCGCCTCGCTTTCCTCCCTTGCCTCCTTCGAGGCCAGTCTCAAGACCCTTGTCTTCGACCATTCCTTTGGTCGCCCTCCCACCTCTCTGCCTTCCCTCACCCCTACACCACTCCTCCCCCATGCTCGGGCCCCGACACCTGATTGTTCAGTGCTTTGGGAGGTCCTCCCGACGTGAAAGGCACTCTATAAATGTAATTTTGTTGTTATTGCCTTATCACATCTTCGAGATGTCTCAAAGCGCTTCACAGAATATACTGTAAAGTAAATTGACTGCATATTTTGTAGAATGGAAGAGTATGGTGCAAGCTGTAGAACTGGAAGTTAACTACTAATTAAAGTAGTTAGTTTTAGTGGATGAGGTGGCACCAGGTTATGCTCGTTGGATCGAATGGCTTTCTCCTAATCTGTAATCTCATAAATGATTCGCAATTGAATTCACTATCGCAATTGGATTTGTAGCCCTGTTGAGCCCTTAAACGATGCATAGCCATTGGAGGGATTTATAATGTGGTACATTCAAACATTTTCAAATATGTATAAAGCAAGTGCAAATACGTTTTGGTTCTTAATTGAAAACTTTTTTTTCCTTCTCCAGCTTGTAGCCATCTTTGATGAACAAGATCCTCACCATGGTGGTGATGGCACCAGCGCCAGTTCGACTGGCACCCAGAGCCCAGAGATGTTTGGAAACGAGTCTGTATCAACGACCATTTCTGCCTTCCAGCCATACCAAACATCAAGCGAGATTGAGGTCACGCCCTCTGCCCTCCGAACAAGTAAGTCCTTTTACATATGTCTGTATGGGTTGTGCAGATATACAAGAGAAAAAGTTGATAGACCTTTTAGAAATTCGCCCATTTGATCTTGCGTCTTCTAAATAAAAGTAAGTGTAGGAGTTTATAAACAGAGCGTTTGTTTCAGAAAGCAATAAGTGATTTATAGTTCAGCCGCTGAAACGGGAAGGGAGAAGCAAACACAAACTATTAATTATTATCTGGAAATAACAGTTGGTTTTAACTACCCATCCTTCTCTTTCGGGGAGCTGTTTCCATGTAGCACAGACTGACTGGATAAACACCTCTTCTTCTTTAACAGTTGTATTGTTAGTGTTTCTTTTCCCCAGCAACACAGAAAGTCTCACTTTTACACCTTTTTACGCGCTGTTAAAAATGAGAGATGGGTTGCAGGTAAAAGACATCCAGTGTCAGCATAGACTTTCAAATGCCCTGATTATTCCTCCTAAATTTTGTAATATTGGAACTCTTTGCTATTTTAGTTGGACAGAGGTATTTAAAGGGAACGGGGCAAGTGTTTGAAGAGAATTAATGTAAAAGGGAAAGAAGGGAATTTGGGATTCAAGGACGAGATAGATTAACCACACCAGCCGGATTGGCCAAGCGTGTGCTGTTACTTCTGATTCTAAGTCTGACAGTAGTACATGATCAATGTCCATGCAGTTTGCTTCTATATCCCATTGAGATTGAAGTTAAACTTCAGTAAAGGAAATAGTTATCCACAACCATAATTCTGTTGGCTAAATGTGAACGATTGAATACAGATTTTCAGGTTGAATTTTTTTAATGACCTTTTTAAAAATGTTTTCGCTCAGTGCACACTCCTCGATATAGACACAATTTCAACAATCTTCTCCCGACAATATGAAAATCAATTTTCACACACTAAGAATGCAACCTCAAGTAGCCATTGTCTGTCACTGTCACTTTAAGTGGGCTTAAATGGATCATAACTTGCCGAAGTGCAACAGAGGGCGATAAATCTTGCAAACGTTTGGCTAAACAGAATCTATGGCTTGTGATAAATTCCTGGTAGCTGAGGGCTGCTTTTTGTTGAAGTATTGTATTAAACTGAAGCATCGAATATTTGTTTGTCCTGCCCAAGGTAGTCACAAAGAGCAGCCAATTCTAAAATGCAGCCCCTTAAGGCTCTGCAAAGGTGAGCAACAAGGATGATCTCCAGTGATTAGAGGGATGACTGATGAGGAATGACTGGATGAGCCAGAATTCATCAACCTTGAAAAGGGACATCTCCGAGGGCAACCCTTACAGAGTTGCTAAAAAGATACTAAATGGGATTGAACAAGTAAACTCAGAGCAATGCTTTCAGATATGATAAGACAATAGGACAAAGAGGCAAAGGTTCAACGTTTAAGGAGGGATAGTGACAACATGAAGTAATTAATGATGCAAAGAATAATTGGTAGCTGGAACAAGTGGTAGGAAATAGTAGTAGAGGCCAGGACTACTTAAGAAATAGCTTGATGCTCTGATGGGTTGATGGTAGTGTGGGTATTCAAAAAGGAACAGTTCAAATGGGTTAAAAAGAGCTTCTGCATTCTCCAAAATAATAATCCTGGCATTTGATATGAAGCTTTCCAAATTGGAAAGACATCTCTAAGTGCTTCATAGGATATACTGTAAAGTGTAGACTGCGTATTTTATAGGCAAAATTGGCAGCCAATTTACACAGCGCAATGTCCTGCAAACGGCTATAAAGTGAATGACCAATTTTATCTCGGGGATTGTTGGCCCAGATACTGGGCCAACACCCTTACCTTTTCATATAGTGCCATAAGATCTTTAACATCCACATGAACGGGCAGATTTGACCTCAGTTTAACATCTTGTTCAAAGTACATCATCTCCCACAGTGCAACTGCACTCGAGTGGCATCCCCCCAGGCTATGAGATCAAAGTCCCGATACGGGGATCGAATCCACAACCTTCGAACTCTGAGGCGAGAGTTCCACCGACAGGCTGGCACTTAGCGATCTTGGGAAATAAAAACCTTGCTGTTAATCAGTATTTTTACCAATTCATTCTGAAATCTCTCCCTTTGCTGGACGTACTTTGCAGCATTATTCTCTTGGACACATTTTGCCTGATGTTACATGATCCTAATCCTTGTGCCATTAGGATTGTATAAACTCACGCTCGTGACAGCTTAATTCAACCATTATGGACATTATTACAGTGTGCCATTCCAGGGCAGATGACTATCAATTGTGCCAGGAAAAGATGTAAAATTGCTACAATTGCTGTAATTTGTTGCTAATTCCAGCAGTAGCAGTGCACTTCTTTTGAATACCATATTGTGCCTGCGGAAACTAAAATCCATTGCCGACTGATTCACCCCCAGATAGTTCCAAATGATTCTTTAAAACTGAATTAGTTTGGTCACGTGCACTCAATTCTTGTGCTTGCTTTGTACAATGGGGCAATACTGTTTGATTCTGTCAGCTGTTACCAACATCGGGAAAAGCAAACATCAAGCACAAAACGTTTGATATAATGGAGAATATAACAATAATATAATAATTTGACATAACACCTTTCACATAATTGAGACATCTCAAAGCGCTTCACAGAATATATTGTAAAGTGAATACACTATACATTTTGTGGGTGAAACACGACAGCCAATTGGGCAAAGCAGTGTCCCACAAACAGTCTTTGAGTGACCAAATATTTTTTGAGAGATTATTACTCCCGGAAACTGATCCGCCAATCAACTAAGAACTGGGTTCCTACTTAATGCTAGATAAACAGAGACATGTGAAGTAAGGAAACTTGCCTAAGGATTTGCCCCATCTGGTAATTGAATCCGGTATCTCTCACTTGCCAATGGGCAATTGAACAGCCCCAACACCAGCAACTTGCATTTATATAGCACCCTTCACGTATCTCGCAGCGTTTTATAGTGGCTGAACAGACACTGAGCAAGTGGGAGGTGACCATAGACACAGTCGAAAAGTAGATTTTAAGGCAGAACTTTAGACAGAGAAGGGGTGAGATGGTAGCTGAATGAAGAAGGTGAGCAAAAGAGTGGGCAACGTGGTGGGAGACATTTGCAGTAGCAAGATTAAAGTTTTCCAAAGGAAGCATCTTAGCAGAACATTAAAATCATTTACTTCAAGCGTGTCTGCAACACTGTATTGGTACCAACACACTAACTAATAGAAATGATATTAGATTTATCTCAGCTGAGATGTTTGGGTCTCAGACAAGGGAGTGGGTGTGATTCCTGCTCCTGACCTTTGAGGGGTACTGGGTGATGATTTGGCAGCCCAAGTGGTCAATCCTCCTCTCCCAGCTCACATAATAATTATAATAATCCTTGCATTTGATACAGTGCCTTATCACGTCTTTGAGATGTCTCAAAGCGCTTCACAGAATATACTGTAAAGTGCAGTGACTGTGATTTGTGGGCGAAATGTACCTATCCCATAAAGCACAGATTTGAAGCCTTCAAATGAGAAAGGAGAGCTGGTCTCTCGACACCTCTCCAGGATTCATAACATAAAAGCGTCATCAATCTGCACGTGGCCTTGTAACCTCTCCAAAGAAGACAGATATCCAATTCTTCTTTGAAGGAGTTAATCAACGCTGTGCATCAATGGATCTTCCCCACTTCTCCCCTCTGGAGGTGAGGAAAGGAAATCTTTAGATCTCTCACATTAGTTTGATGGCAATAGCCAGGATGACTGGGAGCCTGGCAAAGAACGGCCTTGCTGCTGGTGCTGTCAGCTCTGCTCTATTCTCCTGAAACTCTGGCCTTCACTCCTTTTGTGCACAATTAACACCCTTGATTGTAGGGATCTGCTTCATGTATTCACCGTCTGTGTACTGTCTGCAATGGGAGAGGAGACCGCAGCTCAGATGCTGCAGACAATTCTACAAAGCTGAGGTTTCTGCTGCCTGTTCAGGTGGACGTTAAAGATCCTGTGGCACTATTTGAAATTGAAGGGAGTTTCTTCACCCGTTCCTGCCAACCATCCCCAAAATAAATTGCTCATTCACTTTATGGCTATTTGCGGGTTTTTGTTGTGTTCCTGTTTCTTGATGTGGAGGGAGAAGTGGCGATGATGCACTGATGCACAGCGTTGATGTTGCTATGTTCGTGAAAAGCTTTGAGATGTCCTCCCTACGTTAAAGGGGCTATATCAAATATAAGAATTATTTACTTTGAGTTTATTGCAAAATATTTTTTAAATATAAAAATGAGTAATTTTCCGATAACAGTTCTTTTTAAATTGGAAGGTTTGCCCTGAAGGTGTTTATTTCTTGCAATGTGCAGAACCCAGTAACTCAGAAACAGTTAGGTGTAAGTGGGTGTAAATTACTTGTTTCATTTGGGTTGCTCATTAGAGTTTGAACTATTTACAGATGCCCAAGATATTTCTGTCTCTGGCTTCAGTCAAAGTATTTTGATGTTTTAATTGCAATCTGAGCGGTATCTAATCTTATTAAACATTTTTTTTCTGAGGAAGATGGGGAATGTCTCGTCACAGTAAGCTGTGAGGAGCGATAAGCAAAGTTGACTGGATGACTCGCGTGTGACTAATGCTGCACTTGCATTTTAGTATTAAGGCGTAGCATCAATGAAGGGACTGCTGCTTCTGCCAGGGCAGGTGCACAGTCACATTGGTGCATTTATATCATGTTCCCAGAGATCGAAATCCGTTCATGCCCTCGCACCTCCCTACCTCTCTGGCTTGCTCACCCCCCACTCCACCATCCGGTGCCTCCGCCTGATCGGTTCCGGCCTCTTGTTTGACCCTCCCACCTCCGCTCCACCATTGGAAGCTGGGCTTTCAGTCACTACGCCACAAAGCTCTGAAACTCTCTCCCCCAACCCCTTCACCTTGCCTCCCCACTTTCAAATCCCGCCTATAGACCTTCCTTTTTGATCGTGCTTACAGCCACCTCCCTCTCTCCCTGGCTAGGGGTCAGACTCTGCCACTGTTAAGCACTCCGGG